TTTAGTTTAAGAGAACACTGTTTGAAGAATTTATCTTCCGGAATCTTGCAGTAGGTTTTGGGAGATCATTTTTAGTCCATCCCTGTAAGACAGACTTTTCAGGAAAGGAGATGGAATAAAAATGAACTCTCAAAACTGGCAGATTCTTGAAGATAAATTCTTGAAAGAGTGGTACAAGAGGATGTGGTGCTGGTCCTTCAAGAGTCACTCATAACTTATCTGTCCATAAATCCTATAAAAATCAGTCTTCATATTCCACAACACTTCAGCGTGTTATTCTTATTAAGTGAGGGTAATTTTTAAGGATTTTTTACCCAAGCAAAGTCTCTGAGAACCTGTCACCTTGCACTTCTGGAGACTCCAGGAAGGTTGCAGTTCTGGAAAATGGTGGTGCTGGAGACTAAATGCTTCCTGATGGTTTCACACCTAATCCTTCACAGTAATTCTTAATTCTTTTGTAGTTAACGAGTGTCTTTTCTTCTCCACCTGTTTTTTTTTCTTCTTTTTCTGACCCTACTGACCCAATGAGCATTTCACTGTCCAATGATCATGCCTTAACTTTGTAAATTCTAGTATTGCATCCTTCTCATGACCATTTAATAATTTTTGTCTTTTCAGTCTGAGATTAATCTCTTTTTTGGCTCATTTTATCTGTAAAAGAAAACCTGCTTAATAATTATGCACAGCTGAATATAAGGAATTTTTCACTTCCAGCCGTCATGGACAATTATATATCACTTATAAATGATTAAATACATAATGAATAGTAGTTATTAAGATTAATGTGATTTGGAATTGGTAAAATGTGCTTTGAAAAAAAAAATACAATCAGAATATCAACTTGCATAATAATTATGCACGCACTGTATATTCATTGTCCTTAGTTACTGTCTATGCTATCATTTGAAGAGAAGCGAAGCTGTTCTATTGCAGGTTGATTTGCTGATGATCACTGAATAGAAAATAAACACATTTTTCTTCAATAACGTCCATAAATTATAGTGCGGATATAGAAAGTGTTCCATTGAGAATGAATCATTGTCATTATATATCATTTATGTCAGGAGGAGGACCATTTACTTTATTTAGCATGGCCCTTAAGTTATCCATGTAAGATGTATCTTTTTTTTGCCACAACAACCTCACATGCTTGCAGCTGCTATCCGTAGTCATAGTAAGATCACTTGAATATATGAAGTGACATGGATTTTGAATATGTACTGTAGGTTTCAGTCCATTAAACTGTATATTAAACAGAAACACAGAATTGAAGTAACTGAGATTTATTCAGAATTTATATTAACTATGTGTCACATGCAGGGTTGGGAGTAACACATAATTTATTTTATCTCAGTAACAAATGCATTATCATATTCCTGTAATCAGATTACAATTATTGAGTAAAACACTAATGGGACAATACTTGTTTATCATGGTAACGTCTGTAAAAAATTGCATGGAGATACATTGCACTGTGATATAGCTTATGCATTCATATGAAGATTAATTTTGCAACTGAGTTCTGACATCCTACAAAGGAAAAAGAAAATGCCTCTTACATAGTCAGGACATGGCATGTTCAACATGAGTATGATAGTTATATTTCAATGCTTTTGCGTTTGAAATGGGCAAGGCAAAGGAAACTAAAGCACTGCTCTAATGCTGAAGTTTAAATGATTTCAGAAGTCAAGTCAGGAACAAAATCATTTCAATCTGTGTTCTCTATATCACATATGATAGGACTATAGACCTAAACAAAATTACTTTACTTGTTAAATTAGTTGTATTTATTATTCAAACTCTCGATAGCATTCTGTTTTGAGTGTTTTCTCCATTCAAGTGGGATCTTACCACAACCATCAAATGCCTTATTGTAGTATTTTTCAAGATCTTTCTGGAATGTGCACACAAACCACTTCCAGTAGGACAGTTCGGAGAGATCAGGGGTGATGCTCCACTTCGCATAAACTCCTTTTGCTTTTCTGTATTCACTGTATAGGACTGATTTATCATCGGCACTGGGATAAAAACATCGATCACTGCTTGCCACTGATGTTGTGCAGATCCAAACAGACAAGTTTGTTGTATCCTTGAACACGGCCCCATTTACTCCTCTCACTCCATGGAAAACAGCACTGTGATCTTCTTCATGGTTTTTTATGGTGTTCGTGCAGATGGCTCCACAGAATGGACACTGATCCCAACAGCACTGACATAAGTCATCAATCAGAAGCTGATCTGGCCTGAACTTTGGCTCCAGTTTTGCTGGAAAAGTATTTTTCTTGAATATTCTGCTGATGTCTAACATTATAGAAGGAAGTTCACTCTTTATCACGTCTTCTAGGAGTTTGAAATCATCAACATCATCATGACTGACTCCACTGAGGTCCTTTTCAGAGAAGATCAGCTCTTTTGAGAGCTGCTGTGTGAATCTCTTCAACCACAAACCAGCGTCTCCTCTGTTCACTCAAACATGTTCAGTAGATTCATCTCCTCTGTTCACTCGAACATGTTCAGTAGATTCATGTGCTGCTTCCATGATCTTCTGCTCAAGGAGTTTAATGTTCTTGTTAATCTTGGGTAAAACACGGACATTGAACTTATCAGTGATAAAGTGACTGACTTCATCTCTTATGAAACTCTTGAAGTGATCTCTGGGATCCTGAATATAGTTCATGTACTTTTTAAAATCCTCCTCTTCTGCCAGTGTCTTCAAGATGTGTTTGTCTAGATTTGACCTGTTTCCATTCAGTGATGGACAGTCTGTTCTCATATCATTTGCTAACTCTCTGGCAGTCTTCTTGTAGACACTCTGTTCAATGGGTTCTTTGAGTGACAGATGATAGACACTCTGTTCAATGGGTTCTTTGAGTTTCTGACAGATGATCTCACCAAAAATGGCAGCTGATGTTGCTCCATGACAGTATTTCTGGAAAATAATATAATACTCTTCCTTCTTCTTCTTAACATATATTTCAGGATCATTGGCCTCTTTGAACATTCTGTGTTGGTCAGTGATCATCTTATTTGCTCTCTTACAGATGGAAAGAACCAAGTCCATGAAGAATTCATTCTTTAACACATATTTAACTGGTCCTTCCTTATGTTCAGTTTCTCTTGCTTTGATGTAATCTATGAGTTGTTGAATGTAGCTGATGTTGTAGCCCATCTTTGAGATGTTAAATGACTGAATCATTTTGTCTGTCTGCTGAACAACATCATTGACTAATGATCTTATTTGGGCTTCATCCTCAGAGAGACCGTAACCCAGCATTTGTTGAAATTTTGTTAAAATTTTGGTTGATTTCTTTAACTGTACATAATCTGAATAACTCTGCACAGATAAATCTCATTTAATTTCCTCTTTGTTTCTCTTACAATGCTTTCCTGTAGCTCTTTGATTTTAATGTCAAATGATGTTTTCCACTGAATCAGTATATTTGCATCTGCGTCTTTCTCAAAGAATTCTGACACTGATTTTTTCACTTCTTCACTTGTCTTCTTCAACTCTTTGTGAAGATCAGTTTCTTTAACCTCGTTAATTGCTTCATTTTCTATTTGGTTGTGCAGTTTGTTCTCAGTTTCCAGCATGGCACGGCGAAGCCTCCAGGACCACCTGCTGTATTCAGTCTCCAGTTTCCTGTAAGCTGAAATCTCCAGAGAATTTCTGAAGCTGAAGACGAATCGTTCATTCAGTAAAGCTTCCCAGAGATCATTAATACGAACTTTGAATTCTTTCATCATCATTCCATGTGATTTTGATGCATGAGTTATTATAGTTTTCTTCAGGTCTTGAATGTTCTCACAGTAGTTTGGGTTTGGTGGAGCCATGGGCGGACTGCCCTCCCAGAGCTGAGCAAAATACTTCACATCTTTCTGAACATCAAATGTAATAACGTCACTGAAACGTTCAACATCACAGACTTCCTCTTTAGCAGCGAGTTTTGTCATCTCATCCAGTGTCTCCTGCAGTCGTCTCCTTCCCTCCATGTTTTTGTCTCCAGCTGTGATGTCTGACACGTTCTGATGCACAAACACACAGCTGGGAGACAGATTTACCTCCTTCATCCTCATGAAGGCCTGAACAACAATCTGAAGAATGTCCTGCATCTCAGATGGGTTTTCTCCAAAGATATTGATCAAGGTCAGATTTCCAAGACCAACAACAAATGTGGCCAATTCATTGTCATGGTGTCTTGTTGATCTTCCAGCCAGTTCTAGAGCACGAAGACCCTCAGTATCCACAACCAGAATATAGTCAAACTTCAGCTCTGTTTTCATATCGTCTGACCCACTGTTCATCCGTGTTTTCATCTCGTCTGAGACTCTGACCAGCTGCATGAAAGCTCCTCTGGTGCACCGGCCAGCACTGACGGCAAACTCAAGTCCAAACATAGCATTCAGCATGGTGGATTTTCCAGAGCTCTGAATCCCTAAAACTGACAGCACAAAGACTCTCTGGTCCCCCAGTTTCTGGACGAGTTGATCTAGAACAGCAGAGATCCAGATCACAGGAACATGAGCAGCATCTCCATCCATCAGCTCCAGTGGAAATCCAGAGATCATCATCTCTGCTGCGAGACTCGCGAGAGAAGAGAAGTCTTTCAGGTCTTTCTTGTTCTTCTTCACAGATGAACATGATTCATAGATCTGACCGATCTCCCTCATGATGTGCTCCACACCAAAGGTTGCATTTTGAAGTTCCTCAGATATTTTCTCAAGCTTGGTTTGTTCAGCTTTGAGTTGTTCAGATTTATCATGTTTCTCCTTCAGTTGTAATACTGTTGACCACTTTTCATTATACTTGTGATGTAGAGCAGAAAGATCACCTGATGTATATTCATCCAGGACGATTCTGAGCCATTTGGTGAAAAACATCTTATTTGCAGCATCTGAGTTCATTACTTTAATAAAGACCTTCATAAACTCACTGATGTCTGATTCATGCTGCTGTTGACGGAGTTTCTTAATTTCTGTGTGTTTTCTACTGATGTCTATTTCTAGAGTGCTCTGTAGACCGGCTGGGTTTGACTGATGATCTCATTGTTGGAGTTTTTCATCTTCCAGCTCTTGTTGATTTGTCTGAATGTCCAGAGAGGAAACTCAATCTGTTGCGTGAATGGATCAGGAACAAGCAGAGGCAGAGCGTACTGGCACTGGGACAGTTTAGTGACCATCAGCTGCTTCAGGAAAACATCGGCACAATGAAACACGGCCATCTGAACATCCATCGAGTGAATTTGCTCAGATTGACTTGTTCCTTCATTAGACGAAAACATTTCTTCGAAAATGTCACACTCACATTTAGATGAGTCATCATGTCTTTCTTGTATCTGATCTTGTTCATTGGGATCTCTAACAGTAATGTATCTTGCTCTGTAGTCCATCATCAGTAGTTTTTGTATGAAAGTTTGAATCAGCTCCTCTTCAGCACAAGAGTCATTGGACTGTAATGAATGTTTACTTATCTGAAGAACATCTGCAGCTCTCAGTTTATGATCATTCCTGCCTTTAAGATGAAGTCTGTCAAAGAGTATTTTTGAGCCTGTAATCATTTCTTTTTCTGTTTGATCTGGTTTCTTTGTTTCTGTTCTAAGCTCTTCTGCAGGTCCCTGTGAAAGAAAATACTAGTATGTTAATTTATGTGCAGCCTCTGTCTAATTTATTATTATTATTATTAGTATTACTACACAATTTCAACAAGTGAACCATTGAATGATATGGTGAAAACCAAACCTTTCAGGCAGAAAGGATTTGTAGCTCATTTTAAGATTGATAGGTTGTATTATTATTTTTTCATTTCTTCACATTTTGGTTTGGTAAGTGGAACAGTTGCCTCCTGGGCTCAATTCAATAATAACTTGCACATTTTTGTCTTAGAGTCTAGAAAAGTGGTCTTATACAAAATGCTTTCCATCTGACAAAAGCTGACAAGGGATGATGCATTTTAGAGGCATATATTGCATTATTTGTATCCTTATATTGGAAATAGTTAAATTGTTTTAGACATTATATCTGTAATAAACCCACAGCATCGCATGCATCTTGCAAGTCTGGTAGTCTGTAAGTGTGACTGAACCTGCACAAAAATGTGATGACACATTATGGTTTTGTTTCTTATATTTCCACACATAGACTGCCACATGAGATGTCTGGGGAAAAGTCATTTGTGGAACCTAGGAAAGGCTTTAATGAATCTTTTTTTTTTTTTTTTTAGAATACATTTTTCCCTAAACCACCAAAACATTATGAATTATCAGTAGTTCTAGAGTACTGAACATTTTTAAAGTCTATAAATTGAGAAAGATGCATTTTGAATCAAGACAACATAGTTATGGCATCTACCAGCAAGGGCTTATTGGACTACTTTAGCATATTAGTTGAATTATTAACTTTAAATTCTTTATAACTTTCTCTTGTCAGCTGTTGACCATGGCAGCACCTCCCCTCCCCCCAACGCACACACGCAAAACGTTTTTGTATGTTGTCATGATATGTTATTAAACATTTTTACCATTAAATCAATTTAAGTAAATACTAGTCACGTAATTTATGTGCACATAACTTACCATGTGTGTTTCTTTCATCTCTGTCATGGAGTGCTTTCTTCTTTCTTTTTTGAATGAAGGTTCACCTTAAGAAATATAAAAATAATAATACATTACATGAATGATTTTTAAACCACTTAGATTTCTTATTCTATATTATAGCAGTGTTTTTTTTCCCTGTCATTTTTCAAACATTTAACATTTCCAACTGATATATCATTAAGGCCTGTTTATATCCACAAATATCTGTATGGCAGCTAAAATCAGCTGAAATCCTAGTAGAACCTAGTAGAAGGTTTTCATGTCCAGATTGGACTGACAGAGAATTTCCAAATAACACAATGGTCAGACTGGGAAATGTGTTTATCTTGAATAAACACCAAAGAACTGCTCTTAAATTCATCAGAATGTATCAGAATATAAGAACAAATCTGATCATTTATTATTCGTAAATGAGTACTTTGGTGCAGTGAATATTGTGTTATACCCATGTCACTGCATGATGAGTCAGATGATACAGTTGCCTTGATCATTTCTGCATTGACAACAGGTTTGAAGTTGTTCTCATCTACCGGCTTTCCTTTATCCTATAAAGATAAACAGAATGTACATTTCTTGTAATCATGATCTAAGTTCTTGCAAGTATGCAAGAGTATGTACACTTAGTGGCTACTTTATTTGGTAAACCGTTTTTAGCCCTCAGAACAGACTGAATTCTGTGTGGCTTAGATTCAACAAGGTTTTGGAAATATTCCATAGATTGTGGTTTATTTTGACATTATAGATTAATTCAATTGATTAATTCAATGAGTGTATAAGGAACATTTAATCTAAATTTATTTAGGTTTGTAATACTGTAGACAACAAGGATGATGAACCTTGTGTTCATCATCTGCTTGATTTTCTCTTCCTGATGTATTTGTTTTAGGACTGTGGTCCTTGGTTTCTTCGGTTTTAGGGGTTTGATCTTGTGATGTGACCAGAACTGAGGTTTTCTGCATATCAAATGTTTCTTCACTGACTTCCTTTTTAATTGGATCACATGTCTCTTTGTTATCAAGGACTGGACCCGGTGTAAACCCGTTTCGTTTCAATTCAGTTGGGTTTGCTAAATCTAATGGACTGGGTTGAATCAGGTTGATGTCTTCTGTGCTGTTCTCCTCATCTTCACCAGGGAGGATGCCCAGAGCATCATCTGGATTTGGATCTGTCATTATTTCACTAGGGAGAAATGTAAATACTATACATGTCAGGTCTCAGACCACAAAACATTAATAGTATTTAGTAAATCTGATATTGATGGAATAAATGGGTGTGTTCTCCTAACAGGAGAAGAAGGGAAGTTTTTTTAAAGCATTAATTAGGTGTATTCTGAAGCACAGTATAAAAAATTAAATGGAATATTTGAAAAAGAACTCTGAGCAAAATCAGAGAATACTTTCAGATACCTCCAAGTTATTGATGTTAACCTGGTGCTAATTTCCTTAATTGTATGACAAAACCTATTTAACTGGCAGCATGCCTCCGCTCTAAGGTGACTGAAACCCTGTTACAGCAGGTTGTCCAGATGAAGGCCAGCAGAATGACCTTTTCAGCCATTGCAAGAAAAACTGGTCATTCCAAATCTGTGATTTCTAGAATATTGCAGGTTTGTAATGACACTAATTCATTCAAGTCCCCCCAAAAGGCTAGTCGTCCATGTAAGACAAATGCACAAGAAGACAGGATAATGCGGAGACTCTCAATGGTGAATTGGTTCAACACTGCAGCTGGAATTGCTCACCAGTTCGGATGTTTCGATGAACAGGGTACCCAGGTGAAAAAGAAGTACTCTTAAATTTATTTAAAAATTTACTTGAAATTCAGATATTTTTTAGTACAATTGTACTCCCAACATGCTTACTTGAACTGCATTAATGTATTGAATTGCATTTTAATATATTTTTAAAAAGTATACTAGAAGTACTTTGGTGAGAAATATATGCTTCGTTAAGCTTTTAAGAAATATACTAAAACAAGCATACTTTTTGTGGAATTTTAGTGTATTTACAGAAATCCTACTTATTTTACTCTTACTTAAAATATATGTTTACTTGTAAGTTTTGTACTTGCATGCTTTGTAAGAATGTAGTAAAATGATACAGCTTTTAGTGGGTTTAAAGTATATGTATCTTATTTATAAACCATATGTAGACCTACTGCAATATATTTTAAATATTTATGTAATGAACGTGCTTCAGCCTGCTTTTCAAGGAAGATGTGTTAAAAAACATTTGTATCATTTTAATATATTTTATTAAGTATATTAATTCACTCACATATCAATACTGTCACGTGTATGTTCCTGTTTAGTTGCTGTTTGTCCTTATTTGGTCCTTCCAGTTCCTTTTCCCATTATTAGTAACCTGTTCCTTGTTATTAGTTATCCTCATCCCTGTCTGCCCCTCATTATCTGCCCTATTTGAGTTCGAGCCCGTTCTGTTCTCCCTTGTCTGGAATTGTTCATGTTCACCCATTGCTACGTCTGTTTTGCTGTTTCCTTGGACATTATTAAAGACTTTAAGTTTGCATTTGAATCTGCGTCTCCTCGTTCCTCGCTCCGTGCTCCTCACAGTAGCATAACCCGTGACAAATACATTCTAGCTATAAAATATGCAAATGCATTCTTACATTGTACCAAATTATAATGTATTTTAAATATAATTTAACCAACCATACTTTAGTAATAAGCATACTTAAAATCAATATGTTGTTCGGTTTTACTTGTTTGTACTTGTAAAAGAATACTAGGCTGTTTTGTAATACAATTCAAATGCATTTTAATTTAACTTTTAAATACAAAACATGAAGCATTACTTGTAATAGGCTACTATTTAGAATCAGAATCAGAATCAGAATCAGAATGAGCTCACTAACAAAAACATAAAAACAACTGCGGAGCATGCCACGGAGGCAGCCATCAGCGTCTGCGCCATCTTGTAATATCTTATCTGTACTTTCCACAAGCATTTCAACATAGCATTATTTGAAGTGCATCATAAATAATTTTTCCAAAGATGTGTTTAAAATCCCTATTTATTTACTTATGTACCTAAATAAATAAGCCCAACCTACCGCGTAATGCGCAAAACAAACCTCATTGGGTTTTGTGTTAAGTAGTATTAGTGAAATGTCTTTTAGACAAGCTGAGATGCGAGCAGCTATCGTCGGATCATCAGGATGGAATGAGAGGTAGAGTTGAGTGTCATCAGCATAGCAGTGATATGAAAAGCCATTTTCTGAATGACAGAACCTAGTGATGCCATGTAGACAGAGAAGAGATGTGGTCCAAGAACTGAGACCTGAGGTTCCCCAGTAGCTAGATGTTGGACTTTAGTGCCAGGCGCTAGTCAAACAATTAAGTGTCGGAAAGGCACTGGTGATGAGGAGCTTCAGTACTACAACAACAATAGTGAACTGCAGTCAGATGAGATGTTGTCAGGCCATATATCAGTAAAAACCAATTTACCTGTCCTGTCAGCCGTTATACTGTGCTCGTAGCACATGCTCTTCAGTTGCACCCGTATTTTAATCTCTTTAACCTATAGTTGCGCCGACGCCAATGAAGTCATGCAGTTAAAAAAGCCAACTTACTGAAATGCTATTTAAACTTCTTATTATTAAGTTGGCTTGAGAAAGCCAACTTACTGATATTGTATCCGGCCGGAGCGACGAGACAAAAACATTAAAACCCATTACAAAGGGAGCTCTGTAAAAATCACCTTATAATTATATATTCCTCAGTTTGTTTAAATCATAGGGGTTAATAAGGCGAATAGTGTTTTAGACATTGCCTCGCGACCGCCACAGATGTTTGCTAAAAGGGTTAATCATTTTTTGAAAAATTATATACTTCAGAAACGCAACCCAGTACTGGCCAGTTAAAAAGATTTTTTGATCAGTTGAATTTAAATAAACTTTCAAAAGGGGAAGTGGACAACCTTGACTCTGATATAACGTTATAGAACTACATAATGCAGTAATTTGTTCAAATAAAGGAAAGTCTCCCGGAATTGACGGCCTCCCAATTAGAGTTATACCTGGTGTTATGGGATTTACTAGGTCATATTTGGTTATGCACTATAAATGAGGCCATATCCAAAGGCCATTTTCACAGAGACCTCAATACAGCTTTAATCACCGTTCTACCTAAACCCGGCAAAGATCACTCGGACTGTTCTAACTATAGGCCCATCTCCTTGATTAATGAGGATGTCAAAATCTATGCTAAAGTTATTGCCAGACGTCTACACGAAGTAATACATAAATTAATTGTTCCAGATCAACCAGGTTTCATCACCGAACACCTGGCTTCTGACAGTGCAGTCTTATTACACCAATTCGGTTAGGCGCATCAAGCCATTCTATTTCCTTATATGCAGATGACACTTTATTATTTCTGTCTGACTTGCAGCACTCACGTCCTAACGCCCTCAAGATTATAGATGAATTTGGCATACTATCGGGATTTAAAATTAATCATTCTAAAGCTTGTTAACAGCAGCTGTTCATCACTAATGCTCAATCAGCACTTAATTAATCACATAATTATCTCATTAACTTTAACACTGCTTCAGTGTTACTTTAACACTCTTTTAGAGTGGGACCATATATGCTCCAAGCAGTGTTAATTTAACACTCGGGAATTTACTGTGTAACATTATTCTAGCATGATTAGTACGTTACTAACATCATGCCAGCATGTTTCTAACATGTTTAACAAGTTGCTAACATGTTTCTAGCATGAATAGCATGTTACTAGCATGGTGTTAGCATTTTGTTACCATGATTAACAAATTTACTAGCATGATTCTAGCATGATTAGCATGTTATTAAGATGATGCTAGCATGTTTCTAGCATGCTTACCAAGTTGCTAGCATGTTTCTAACATGATTAGCAAGTTACTAGCATGTTGTTAGCATGATTTGCAAGTTACTAGCATTTTGTTAGCATGTTTCTAGCATGATTAGCAAGTTACTAGCATGTTGGTAACATGATTAACAAGTTATTATCATGTTGCTAGCATTTCCAATTAATGTAGGCATGTTACATTATTATTATTAGGCATATTATTATTACTGTTTGCTTTTATTATTAAATTAATATTACAATTAATTTGCTCCGCAATAATTCCATAGCGCATTACTGCATAACTGACGCCTGATGATAATAAAAGACTATACACTCTAAAAAAAAAAGCAAAGAAAAAGCAAAGAACTTCTTCAGCGGTTCTTCAGCGGTTCTTTGGAGTGGTTAAGGTGCTATATATCACCACTACCGTATAAAGAACCTGTTAAGCCCCTGTATGGTTCTTTAAAGGTTCTTTAACTCTCTCTTAGTCTCTTAGTTTAGTTGGGGAAAGGGTTAAAACAACATAAAAATATAGTCTATTTCTTGAAGATATCATTTTTTTTGCCCCCAAGGCCCCCATAATGAAATATTCCAGGGCCCCCACATGAGACCTTTGACCTCAGAAAAAAAGGACCTCTCCACAAACAGCAACACCAACTTCACACATTACTAACCAGTTAGACTTTAGATACTTTATTTCTGGAGTATCTAAAACAGAAGTTCTTTATTGAGAATTAAAGTTTAGATGTTTTTTTTCTTCTTTCAACTTACCGTTTTGGTGAATAGTGTTTGCTTTAGTTGCCTCTTGACCCTTGACTTTAATATTAAGTTAAAATAAGTTTCTCTTTGGCTGTTA